TATATTTATAATTTTTATAAGCTATCGATTTAGCTTATATAATATTTATAAAATTATTCTTTATTAAAATAATATTTTGGGGTTTACAACCAAAGCATACAGTCAGTCATAGCATGTCTGAAAGTTAAACTTTTAACTTTCTCAACATTTCAGCAAACAAAACAGAAGCTAATTCTTTGCAATAATGTGATAAGATTTCTTATATTTAAGCTAACCACAAGATTGCCATTTTCTCATTAGTTGAGATAAGAAGTTACTTTTGAGTACAGAAAAAGTGGAAGGGGAAAAAAAGGTAGAACCACAGCTAGCATATCTCTTCCCCACCAACTGTGGACGAAAAAAAACATCACCATGCAGACATTCATACAGATAAAAGTTACAATATTCTCTCAATAAACACAATTTATTCTTTAGTGACGTTACAGCCCTTACTGAAGTTAATGAATATTATTCTCAACTTACCAGAATCTACACAAATGTTCAGGACAACAAATGGATACTGGTGTTTATTGTATAAGTGATACACTTCATTCACAAGCTTGACAACCTGCAGAGAAGATGAAAACACAATAAATGTCATTACCATTCCATGTATTTCCCACCAGTATGTGTTATTTAATCCTCTTCAAAACAGTTAATGTACTAAATCTTATCTTGTATGATTGAGCTTTTGTTCACAGATAGGCACAACAAAGACAAAAACCTGAGACATGGGAACTTGCAGCAATCAAGCCACAAATATGCATTATCAGCTACTAATCCAGTGATTTTCATAGAATATCAGAAAAGTAAGCACTGATGATGTCAGAAAATTAAACCCCTCACCTTCGCTGGATCACAGGGACGTTGGTTGATAAAGAAAAACTGCCTGTCTGTTGTACTCCTTCCAACACCATGATCACACCGAGAAATGAAGCCTGTAATACTGTTAAATAATAATGTAACAGTAAGAAAAAATGGAGGAACAAAGCAAAAGAAATTTTTCTGGCTCTGAGCATATTTAAAGGAAGAGTATTTTATAATGGGCTGAAAGAAACACTGTTCTACAGTATCAGTAAATAGGAATACATATTTCCTCTCCCAGTTCCTTATCTGATAAAGGCTAGACATTCAGCTCCAAAAAGGCATCAGATAATTGAAAAAGTATCTCACTCTGATTTCAAAAGAAGTGGTGTTTGTTATTTATCTGCTCTGAAGGCAGAAGAGAAGTCAGTTGTGAAACATCCAGTGGTTTACTTCTCTAATTACCTATAAAGATTTTGTGGCATGTCAGTAGCATTGAGTCCATATTCTTCACAGACAGCTTCATTAGGACATAGCTGAACAAAAGGAATGAGGCTCTGCAACTAAAGAAAAAAAAAAACAGTGATACATTAAACACATACATTTTCTTCCCCCTTGTGTTTCATTATTATTTATTAGCCTTTAAATCTATTTGATAAAATGGTTGTTTTTTTCAAGTTGGCTGACCAAGGCAAATACTTAAAGCACGTAAACCTACTAGAAGAGAGCAGCACTGCTGACTGAGGAACAGGAACAATACCCTAATGAATGGCTGTTCTCAACCTTGGGTAACACTACTTTCGCCTTAGTTATTTTACAGATCCTTTCTTTAAAATGTACATAGGAAGAACAACAAAAGTATTTACACAATTTGGACTCTCCAGCAACATATATATGACCTAATCAGGTTTTATGCCAAAATAAAAGACAAAGAAGTTTTTCTAATAGTTGTACTGTTCTTTCAAAGACAAGAAGTTTCTTTTGACAGAACAATAGAACTATTAGAAAAGATATGTTATTGGAATCACAAGCTGACTTAAGTATGGATAAGTTTACCAAAAACATTTTCCCAGTCATGCTGCTATTACTTTTCTGTAATTAAAGCATCTTCTACTGATTTTACATTGAAGCACTTGGTATTATATAAGCAGACTATAAGCTAAACATTCTCTTCAGACAACACTGAATTTTCAGCTATGCTTGTTGCTGTGTGGCAAGACAAAATTCCATTTGTCATCTCCTCTGTCAGCCACAGCATGAACAGGCTTTGAAATCTCTAGATGGGTACTGTGAAGGGAGTAAGTGTTTATCCACAACCAACGCTTATCAACCGCTTAATATTCCTCATGGTTATAATATACATTTGTAGGAAGGATGCTTTTATGCTTTTTTTGACTTCTGCTTTCTTCTATAAGATAACTGTTATTTTTATAGCAACTACTTAGAAAGCGTCCCAGCCTGCACCTCTGCCGGGCCGACTGCAATGCCATTTAAAGGTTAACCAGAACACCAACGATTTCACAGGAAGAGGTTACAAAAGCTAGAAACACCTCAGTTTTCTGTTCCCCAGTTTAGACTTTCATGTCACACCATTTTTAGGATTCTTTAAGTTGCTTGCTCTTATCACATACAGTCCTTTGTGCCCATACCTTTTTCAAAATCACAAACCTCCCGAAGTCTTCTGACACAACAGCTGACACCACTTGCTCTAGACAGATATTAAGCAGTAACTCTATCTGCTAAATCATATATCTTCCATCAAAACATCTCCAAGCAGATTCAGAAACCAAGAGAACCTGTGAAGGCTGCAGTTACTCCTCTCTCAACCTGTAGGGTGTGCTAGAAGTCTACATATGCTCCATCCTCTTAAGGTTTTGAAAAGATTTCCTACATCCCCCCCCTATTTATAAATGCCTCTATACAGCCATATTATCTCTCTTCTCAATAATAAAAGTAATACCTGTTTTTGCCCAAATACTGCTCCAATGTTCTCTTTTAAACTAGGACTTCCAGTATTTGATACCACAGAGCCTTTTTTCCCTTGGCCAACTTGATTAGTGCAGTTAATCCGTACTCCTTTTGAAACAATACAGTATGCCTGCAACACCTGGACCATTTTTGCATATTCCTATGAAAGAAAACAAAGTTCACATTTATAGAAAATGTCTCTAAAACAAAAATGTATAAAGAAAGCATTCAATATTTGCAGGTAACAAAAGGGGGGTGCGTTAATGTTTTTTAGATCTTTACAAACTAAATTTAAAAAACATAAGTGAAAAATAGTGTCTTTAAAAACAAACAGCATGTTTGCAAGATTGATAATTAGCCATAACACAGCAGTGCCTGATTTTCATGTACACAAAAGTGACACTGATATTGACTCTTCAAAATCTAAACATTTGAGAATTCACCTTTTAAAACCTACCATAAAACAGAAGCGGAAAGTATACAGGAAGACTGCTTTCTTCTGTTATAAAATACAAGACAGGCATAAAACAGTCTGACATGACGTATTCTACAGAAAATTGACTGTCATTCAGTAGTGAATAAATTCAGGGGTACAACACTCCTTTGAATTAATAGTTTCTGATCTAACCTACCTTTTTAATGTTTCTTTGAAATTCCTTATGCCGCACCGGCAAAGTATAAAATAACTGGTGTACGTTAACAGTTGTTCCTTGCTGTCGTGGAAAAGGAGTTTTCTGAGTAATTTTACCATTGTGATCAAATACCAAACGAGTTCCAACCTTTGCAGACTTATGACAGGTAAAAATGGTCACATCACTAATGGAGGGAAGAAGGCAACAGAATTACCCACTGGGCATTGTATTTGCTTCTTCATTGCTCACAAACCTAATCAGGCATGGAAACTACATCAGTGCTATTCATTTAATTAAAACTAACTCTTCACCACAAACAACTGAAAATGTACCTGAAGGGCAGTGTAACATTTTCCCAGAGACAAGACAAACATTTTTAGTTGCATCCCTGTAATTCTTCTATAAAGTACAATGTTAAAGTCTGGTTTTATTGGACACTGAGCTAATCATACTGATATATAAGAGCAGAATTTTCTTGATACACAGAACTGTGTACAAAAGCTGGGCTATTTCCAACGTCTAAGAGGAGCTTAAATACAGTTAATGAGCTGTAGCAAACACAGAATTTAGGCATTATGGTGCTTTACAGCAGAGGACGAAACACTTAAGCAAGTACACAGTTCCATCGTGCAAAGATCTGCATACTGCAGCAACATTACATTTTGTACATAAAAGGACCAATTGGGTGCTTAGAATAATACAACCATACAGTAAATCCAAATGCTTAGAATCATAGAATAATTTTGTCTGGAAAAGACTCATGATGTTTGCAACTTCCTGCTCAAAACTGACTGAACACTAAGAACTGTAAGTTTCAAAAGCCTCATTTTATCAATGACAGTAAATGGAAAAGTTTGCTTCAGTATTTTTGTGCATAATGTAGCTTTTTGCTAATAAGAAGTTTAATATTAATACCTTAATGCACACAGTGAACTCAGAGCTTCACCTCGAAACCCAAATGTTTCAACACGTATTAGATCAGAAAATTCTTGTATCTTTGATGTATAATGTTTCAGAGCTGGAAAAGGATATTTAAAAATACACACTTCACTTCAAAGTGACACTGGTCAATCCAAGGAGATTTTGCATGCAGATCAGGAAACAAAACCACAGCTGTACTACTCATTGTATTTTAGATAATTATTAGACACAAAATAATTAAATAGTTATGTTTTATTTCCCCTTTCCTTTAAGTAAGATCTCTTTAAAATCCTCAGCTATACCTGTTATTCCACACTTAGACACAAAATTCATACAGCATTATTGGTCTGGGCATTGCAAGATACCTCAGAGCAGTACACAGGACCTACCTCTGCCACTGATGTCCCTGTCACAGACCTAGCCCTGCAGAAAACCACTGCAGTGCTGTGCCTGTTATGCAGTGGACAGGCATAGGTCTGTTCCACCATGACCACAGCTGAGGAGGCCTCAATCTGCACCACCAGTGCTGCACTAGTCACAGGGGAACAGAGTTGACAGCAGGACCTCTGAACTTTCACTGTACTGGAGTAGCAGGAAATAAGAGTTTATGAGGTACCAGATACATATACAGTGAGCACACAAAGTTACCCAGTTATAACTTATGGTGAAAGAGATCCCCAGCCATTATATGAAAACAAAAGGAGGGTATTTCTGTTGCAATGGCTATTTACATTTACCATGCAGTATTGCTTCTGCTCCCATTTTGTGCAATTTAAACCTATCAAGTGAGAAATTTCGAGAGTCAGGCATGTGATGTCAGTTCACTTACAGCAAATATTCAACTTCGTGAGTCCCCTTTCAAAAGCACTCACTTCAACAAAGCTTGATTCTTTCAAGAATGACTGATGACTCAACATGAATAAATTTAAATGAATGTTTATAAAATCTCCTGTTCAACAACTACTTCCTCTCTTTGTTCCACTTAAATAAGCAATCAAACCAAAGACTACTTCTAAGCTACAAGAACCATAACCAGCATAGCACTACAGAAGTTCAGTCTGGTTTTGCCCAAGTCTTGCAGATCATGCACACATTATATTAAAGCCAAGTATCCATTAAAAAAAACATTAAACTTAGGAAATTTGTTAAGGAAAAAAAAGGTAGCTTTCTCACTGAAAAATATGCTTCCAGCATTTCCAAACATAAATTATGAAAAAAGTTCAACTTACTCAGGCCTTCAAAGTTTTCTTCTTCCACCCCACCTCCATTATCTGAAACCTCTATCAGTTCTGCTCCATAATCTTTAAGTTTTATATCTACAAAATTGAGTAATAAAGTCTTTTAATTCTTTACGTTCATAAATAGTATTGAACATTAATTTTGTATTTGAAACAACTTTACCAGATAATAGCTTACCCTGTCAAGTTTGAAAAAAAAAAATCCTCATACCTGTCAAAAGTTAGGGTAACCTAATGCAATTCAGTCTGTTCTTGCAGATAGTTCTGCCTCACTGCACTTCTGCCTGAACATAAGTTTTCACAACTATAAGAGCTGTTACCTTAGCAGCTCTAAAAACTGCAACCCTGCTTTAACAATCTGCTACCTTGAGGGCACCAGCTAGCAGAGCTTCATCACTACTGGCGTGTAAAACATACACCTTACTTAGTGGCAAAAAGGGCTACAAACAAATTATTACAGACAACACTCGCATGCTTCTAGGAGCACAGCCGAAGCCTGGCAATCAAAACGCTTTATTTAGCTGAGGTGTAAAAGCACTGCAGGCATGCTTGGCCCAAATGGAAAGTATTCACACATGGGTTAATAACCACTCTGTTTTAAGGAAGGGGCACTTTAGCCGTCTATTCAAAGTTAGGAGATGACAATGAAAGGTTACCGATGTTGGTAGCTCCAGCATCAAGGCTGTTCTCCACCAGCTCTTTCACCGCAGTGCCGAGATTCAGCACAACCTGTCCCGAGCAGATCCGATGGACGGACTTACGGTCGATGGGCTTGATGGCTCTGGCAGGCAGCAGGCTTTAAAGAGAGGAGGGACGGGGAAACCACGGTACCGTGAAGCGGGCGGCGAGGGCTCCCCGGGAGGGGCTCGCCGCGCCCCGCTCCTCCCAAGCGAGGGCAACCGGCCCCCAGGGGCAAGGCGCGGATAAGACACCGATGCCCCGGGGACTCAGAGCCCAATACGGAACAGCCGA